GTGATAGATATCTTAAAATATCATCATAATTTAAAGAATTCATGTGTGTTAAAATATGATTATTAAACATATAGATTATATATGTTAATATATGACTAGCAACCTTGCAGTCACTATGTGACTGCCGTGACATGTGAACTATAAATAAATAAAATTTTGCTTTATTAAATAATGACTTTTGTTAAATTGCACTGTACTTTTTTAACTATTGACATTTTTTAAGATATAAGCTCATCCCGACGTTACACTCATCAAGAGCTTTCATTTGAGTACCCACATGCATTTTCATATATTTTTCATATATACATATATATAATATGTATAAATATATGAAAAATTGATGTGGGTACTTAAAAGAAAGGTCTTGATTAATGTAACATCGGGATGAGCTTATATCTTAAAAAATGTCAATAGTTCACGAGATATAAGGTCATTTCTTAATTATCTATCTAAAGATAAAGCATTTTCGAACGACGCCTAAATACTTATCATCATAAATTTACTATTAGTGAGAATGATATGAAACCATGAAAAGACACAACTCCATATAAATATACTGGCCACAAAATTTTGATTTTTCTCTTTGTAATATAGATTATACATGTGACTCATATGTATTGAAATATGATTAGAACACATAAAGCCATGCCTGGAAATATAATCACATATAATCACATATGTATTAAAATATAATTACTAAGGTAAAAGACCCAGTTATTGACACGGGCCTAGTTATTCACACTTACAATTTTATTTTAATTAAAAAAAACAAATCAACGCTGATAAATTAAGAAATATAATTTTTGAATTATAAATTTCAAGATAATTGTTTTTTTGAGAACATTTTATTTTTTTAATTAGAATAAAATTGCAAGTGTCAAACAACTAGACCAGTGTCAATAACTGGGTCTTTTACCTTACATATCGAGGTCGAATAGAATATCTGATCGTGATCATATATGTGACATATGTGTTAAAATATAACCATGATACAAAGTACTTATGTACATATGTGAAAGTATGGTTACGACAAATAGAAATCATGTGTTAATATATGTGATCATGACATGTGACTAATGTCTTCATATATATGACTTCTATGTGTTAACATTTTATTATATCATTACGTATGCTTACTTAGTTGATGTCAAAATCATATATGAACATATATAAATTCATATGTGATCATAAATGACCTATAATCCATCATATGTGAAGGTACTATATTTTATGAAAACCCAAAAAATCTTCTAAATTTTCCATCCCATCAAAACTGAATATCCCATAAATTATCCCTCGCTTCCCCCCTCAATATTTATTTCACCGTGAATATCGCCGCTATTTAAATTCGCTTGGAAATAAAATTTACTTCAAGAAAGTTTCTCCTAAAAATTTATTTAGAGCACGGGCATTGGAAAGTTAAGAATTATTTCACCGAGCAAAAGGTAAAAGAGCTACCGAGGGGTGAATGACGGAAAAATAGCTTCCTCTGCATCTCCTCCACTCAAAACTATTTTCTTTGTAAGACTCTTCTTGCAGAGTACTTTCTCGGTTTTTTCTTTACTTTCCCGCTCGAATACTTGTGCTCTCTGCAGCAAAGAACAGTATCCACTAGTCAATCGCCATTTTATCTATTTTATTCCCTCACTGGAACAAACTCTTGGCTTTGTATCTTGTAGCTTTACTTTTTGCTCGCTCCAACTTCATATCCATTTATATTTCTGCAGCAAGAAAAAAAAATCAAAATCTCTATTTGAAATTACTTGCTTGCCCTTTTTTATTTTACTTTCCTTCTCCTCTTCTCTTTAACTGAATTTCCCGTATCGAAGCGTTTTCCAGTGCAGAGACAACTACGCGGTGAGAATAGATGTTTTCAATTTGCTCGCGAATAAAGAGAATTGCCCGAATAGGAAGAGAATCTACCGAATAGGCAGCTAGCTCCGTTTAGAATATGCTCGGATAGTGAATCGATATTGGACCGCGATATGATTCTGCGATACTTTTTCACTAAATTGGGTAAACTCCCTCGTTCTATTTCGGCGAATCAGTTAATACCCTTCTTTCTTTTTTTTTTATTTTATTTTTATTATTACTGTTATTACCGTTATCGTCTATTACCGTTTAATTCAAGGAATAAATTCAATTTCGTTTATCAAACCCGATACTGCCTCATTATTTTTCGATTCTATTTTTTTTAAATAAATACAACCTATAAAAAATCTCTTGTAAAGTTAGTCAATTTTTGCAATGAATGAAAAAAAAATGTTCTTGAATCAAGTATATAATTTTGAAGAACTTAATCTTCTTGATTTGAATAGAAAAATTTTTGAACTAAATAAATTTTTCTTGATTTAAGGAAATTTTACTTGATTCAAGACAATTTCTCTCTAAAATTATTTTTTTAGTTCAAGAATTTTTCTCTCGAATCAAGTTAATTTTTTTGTCAGTGTAACAGTGTCAAAAAATTAGTATTTTCATATTGAAAATTTTAATTGAAAAGTTTCAAATAATTGACTAAAGTTTAATAATTTTTTAATAAATATTTAAAATTTTTCTATTTAAACATAAAATATTTCGGACTAAGAAATAAAATCTCAAATTATTGATATATCAACAGATTTAAAAAGGAGTTAGCTGACTTTGTTATTGCTAAGCGGTATCACTCTTTATTAAAATCTTGGTCCGATCAGGGTTCGAGTCCTCCCTTGAGTGTGCTTTATATTATTTTTAATTTATCTTAAAATGAATATTCTCAAGTCTCGAACATTGATCTTCTTAAATTAAGCATTTATTTCTTCAGCTCAGATAATTATTAATTAAATTTTCAAGATAATTATTAATCAAATTTGAATTAAGAAAAATAATTTTTTTCAGTCCAATAAATTCTTAGACCAAAATATTGTTAACCTTTTTTTTTATCCAGTCTAGTCCCTCACCTCGAACTTTTCCGTAATGAACTGACCACGAATAAAAGCGAGGGCTTACGATCGAATAAAAAAACAGATAAACTTACAATTCTGTACGAACAACCCGACTTTCGGGATAGTTGAAGGTAATCCTCGGTTAAATAAAAGAAGAATGTAATTTTTTCAATAATCAGTAGCTTATCGATATTGTCGGGCGGGATAAAATCAAAGCGAGTTTAGAAAATGAAAAGAAACGTCACTTTAAGGAATCCATTTGTTTTCCAGGGCAATAATATTTTATCATTCCTTTTGTCGTGAGCTTAAAACGAGGTCCTGCTGGTCTGGAACGGCGCTAACTTACAGTGAACGATGTTATTGACCAACTGGGTGCTGTCAGCTAAACGACATCGTTCGGTGGATAAGCCAGCGCTGAAATGGGATACATTGTCTTGTTCTTGTCCATTGGTTTTTATTTTTTTGATGACTCTCCACTTTAAAGTGTAATCATTTTATTCTTTCGACTATTACTTACTATTTTATAAAATTTCTTTTTTTCTCTTTCCCTCTTATTTCTTAAAAAAAAAATCTATTAAGATTTTTTTAAAAATAATTATAATTTTTTAATTTTATGTAATTTTTAAAAAACTTATCTCTTAATTATCCATATATTTTAAGTCAAAAATTGATTTAATAATTAAATTAATTAAAAATCATCTCTAATGAGTGAAAAAAATTAATTTTTATTTGATAACCTTATATCTAAAAATTTAACTCTCTATTAGGGAGAAAATTTAGCGACCATGCGCCACCTGTTGAAAATTTTCAGTACTAAATTTATTAAAAAAATTATATATCGTTATTTATAATCATATCGAGCCATATTTGTTCATATATAGCACAATTTTAAGCCGGAAAATTAATAACTATTTTTTACAATAAAAATTGTGACTTTTTTCCAATCTTTTTGTTTAACTTAACTCTCCAATTAAAATAAAAAAAATCTCATCCCCTCATCAACTACCGACAAATTAAATGAAACATATTTATACACAAATTGGTGGAATTTCCATCTATATATTTCGCGCATTTTACAGGCGGTTTATTTCAATATAACAATAAATATCCACATGATCACTCAAAGCGACACCGAAACATTTATACGCATCAGCTCGCACAATTTATATTCCGCTAATTAACAAAAAATTATTTAAAATCTAAATAAAGTAAAAGTCTTTGACAATTATAAAATAGATTATTCATTAAAAAAGTTTTTATATAATTAACCTGACCTGGAATCAAACAAAAGCGTTAGATTATTTAACCGAACAATGAAACAGCAATAAAAGCTAATTAAATATAGTTTGGACTAAATTTGACGAGTTTTTCATCCAAAATTCAGCCAGTAAAATTTGCATTAATTAATGCAATAATAATTATTATTTAACCGCATTATAAAATATAGATTTTTATATCATATATTACATCGGGGAATTACGTAGCGCGCTAAGTACCAGAACTGGTTTAGTGTCAAGTGTTGAGTATGTACTATGTATTATTATATGCAGTGTGAATTTCCTCCACGACGGAGGTCATTACAATTTTAAAAAAATATTACATTAGATGGGGATCGTTAACGATTATTAGAGCAAAGTAATTAGCATGGAGCAGTTAATTACGGGGCTAGGAGTTTCTTCAAGGACACTGCGCTTTTTTCATACGGCTCTTTTTTTTTACACCAGGTCATTAAAAATTTATTTATCGTCTACATAAATTTATTTTATTAATTATATCAATTTACATTTTATTAAGTGCGAAAAAATTTCATTTTATTTTTTCTGAGAGCGTAGTTTATTATCTTTCTGGGAAATATTTGAAATAGCATAGAAGTTACTTTGAAAGGCTGAAAAGTTGTTGGGACTTTGTACTCTTATTTTCTCAACTTTTGAGTATGTTATCTGCGAGCTGTGATGAAGTGCGCTGGCAAAACTCCTCTGGCATCAAGTAGCTGTAAATAAAAGGAGATGAAGATGAAGATGAGCAAAGTTTACATTTACTTACCGTGATTTTTTTTTTGTTTGTTTCAGGAAAGTGACAATGAGGCTTCTTTGGACGTTTGTTATCATGATTGCGGCGCTACCTGCTGCTTTGCCCTGGGAAACGGATCGCAGTAAGCCTAGTAGAGTATCAATTGTTTATTTATTTATTTAATTATTTTTTCTTTTGAGGATAATTGGGTATTACTACATACAAAAATTTTTTTTAAGTTTTTAATTTTGAGCTTTTAAAAAATTCAAAATTTTTTTTTACATAATTTAAAAATTTATAAGAAAATTGAAAATTTTTGAAGTTATACTTCTTTTGGCGCGATGGAGAAAAATGATGAGAGTGAATTTTTACGATGCGCGCGCACACCGACACCTAAATTCTACATCGTAAAGTTAGTTCTAGGTGGTATGAAAATTGATAACTATGTTCAAGTTGTATATTCTAGTATTTTTATATTTAGAACACGTGTTTCGTAACAATACAATTAAACAGCGTGAATAAATAAATATTATTTTGGTGTTTTTTGATTTTATTTTTAATAATTAAATTAGAACAAAAAAATATTTTTTAAAAATTGCACTTACAGTTTTTGAAGTTTTTTTACAAGTGAAAATTTTTTTTTATTTTTTTGTAATCATTTTTTCAATAAGAAAAATTCTAAAAATTTTTATATGTCAGCTAACTTAATTTTCATAATAATTAAAATATTTTATAACGATCGATTGTAAACTATTGATACTTTGCAGTTTCAAAATAAGTTGATTTAGAAAAATCTTAAATAATATTGAATTAAATTAATTCAATGATAATTAATGATTTTATATTTATACGGTATAGCTAAATTTTTACTATAATAAAACCTATTTGAATTTTTTTAACATTTTTCTTCGATCATTTTTGCATTTTTTTTCTTTAAAATTTTTTCTATTATGTGCCAAAGAAGTATAACTTCTAACGCGTGTACATAAGTACACAAACCATTTTTTCTTTTTTTTTTTTAATAAAAATAAGAAATTTTAATAAAAAACGCCAATATTTTTATTTTTTTATTTTCAAAAATTGTCCAAAATTTGCTGCAAAAAAGCATACGTCCTTCAAGCTACCTCCTTTCACTACAAACTACTTAGAGAAATTTTTTTTGGTGACTGTAATAAGGCTTTGGGAAGAACTCCCACGCGAAATTATAAATTCTAGTAGCTTGCAAGTCTTTAAAAAAGAAGTTTTCAATTATTTATTAAATCTTGATAATCAAAACGACGTCTAATAAGTAACAAATTTAAGTCTAATACATTAAAGATTAAAGGTTAAAGATTAAGATTAAAATAAGGATAAAATAAGTGCAATTCACAGAATTATTATGCTGAGTTATTATCTGAATTGATAACATTGAAATTCTATATTTTAAAAATATTCATTTTTCGATATTAGTTTCCAAATTTAATTTGATTTTACCTTGTCTATATACAAGTGATACACAAATTATTAAAATAAATTTTTATGCAATGTTATGTACTCATAGAAATTATTTTCTTGTAAAAACTGTATATACTCTATAATAGAAATTGCCATTTGGCACGTGATTTGGCATCAATAAACAAAATCTAAATTTAAAATTTATTAAAAAATAATAAAATTTTAAATCATAAAAAATTCAATTTTTGGTCCTTTGAATTTTTTTATTCACTGTTCAAAATTTTTTTCAAAGATTCTTTTCTACAAAATAAACTTAAAAATTAAATTTTTTACTCATAAAAATTCAAAATTTCTAAAAAAAAGAAAAGAAATCCATTTTATTCAATAATTTTTAAAAATAAAAAAAATTGCGTTCCTATTTAATTTTCCGATTTTTAGAAAAAATTTCTCAAGTTCTTTACGATCAAATAATTTTTTAAAAATCTGATTAATCCAAGTACCAATTAAGATTTAATTTCCCCATAAAACTCCCCTTCTAAATTAAACGACTCAATCCACAATTTACCATAAAATTTCCCGAGAATAAAATAAAAATAAATTTCATAAACTTAGCACGTCGTAAAATATTTCTGTCATAAAAAAAGAACCCCACAAATAAAAAATAAAAAGAAAACTTTGAAAATTAGCATACAATTAATTATAAAAGAAATAATTAATTACCAGCGATAAAAAATGGATAAAATTAATATAATCGAGTACGAGATAGAGGCAGTAACTAGTAAAGTTACCTTCAAAGCTTTTACCTTAATTCCATTATCATAAAAAATAAAAAAAAAAAATAATAGTAACATAAATATAAATCAGCGATTAAATCGAGTGTTAACCAAAAGAGCCAGTAATACTGTGGACCATGACTAACGATTAAGTGATTACAAACTAACTCGGCTATAATAAAAATATGGTAATTTCTTTGAGCGGCACTTATATTACTAACTCTAAGGAGAACCTTTTAAATAGATTAAATAAAACCACAAAGCTCGACCTCATTTTACTAAAATGCACGAACGTTTGACTTTCTTATCACTCTCTGAAAATTTATAAAACACACATCACTTATCCCCAATAAAAAATTTAAAAAACCTTTCTCTTCTTCTCTTTTTTCCCTTTTAGTGTATGAAGCCGTCAGCGGCACCAGTCCAACATACTTTTTAAATATGCCGAGTAAGCTCACCGCTTATCGGGTTTTGAGCTTTCATTTTTTAAGTCCGCATGCGTTTTTTTTTTTTGACATGTACACGCGAAGGTGTCGCTGTAATGTACTTTCTTCTCGGTTAATATTTTTTGCACATCTTTTGGCTTTTTGCAATGGTCTATCTTGGAAAAAAAAAAAAAAAAAAAAAAAAAAGAATGTAAGAAGGAAGAAAAGTAAGTTTTTGTTTCCTCTGTTTCAGTGCCACGTTTGTACGGTGACAAGATTCCCACGAGAGTCTTAACGCCGAGTAATAAAAAAGTTCAAAGGAAAATAGTGCTTTACCACAACTTCTTTCGGACTCACGTAACTCCTACGGCTGCCAACATGCTCGTTATGGTAATTGTTATTAATTATTGTTCTTTTTTTGTTTTCATAGTTTTGATGTTATGATCAAAAAGTGACAATAAGTTGATCTGGTATTTAATTGTTTTTTTTGTCAAATATTTTTTTAAAATAATAAAATTAACTTTTTTTATTTCTTATCCTTAAAAAAAATTTTTTTTTTATAAAAAAAAAACATTCAGAGTAAATTGTTTTGAAAAATTTAATGAGAATTTTTTTCAATTCGAATTTTTTTAGTTAATTTTAAATAGAAACAAAATTTGATATTTTTTTTTTAAATTAAATTATTTAAAAACATATTAATAAAACTTCATAAAAAATTTTTTTTAGTCAAATTTTTTGATTCTTTTCGTCACAAAAAATCAAAAATAAAATTCTTCAAGAATGGTTACTTTGAAAAAAATTCAATAAGAATTTTTTTTACTTAATTTTATTATAAAAAAATTTTTTTGATAATTTTTATTAAAAAAAATCAAAAATTAAATTTATTAAAAATCAATCAATAAAAAAAAATTTAGTTGATAATTTTTGTTAGAATAAATCAAAAAAATAATTTTTTTTAATCCAATAACTTTAATAATATTTGATCATAATCCTTAGAAAGCATTAAAAATAAAAATTTCCAAGCTTGTGAGCATCAAATTGAGTGTTGGCTCGAGCCAACGACAAAAGATAAAAAAAGAAAATGATAAATATAAAGTTTCTTGAGGCGTGAGCCTAAGAGTTCGTATTGGCGAACAAGGTAGCCCGAGCGATTGTTTGCCCGCGTTTATTTATTCATCTTTTGTCTATTAAAAAAACAATACTCCATCTCGTCCCACTCTAATATAAAAAAGCTTACAAAAGCACACGGTCATTGACACGGTTCTCCTCGGGCTGTCATAATAATTGTATCATGAGGCGTGAAAGTGTGAGCCAACTCAGGTGAATAAGCGAGTGTAAGCTCTTTTTTTACTCCTACACCTATATGATAAATAATAATAGTAATATACACCCGAAGAAAACAGAGAAGGGGATACGGATAGTTCCCCTTATATTAAATCTTCCATAACGTCTATTACACATACATCCCATCCATATTATTTATATATCAACGTCAAAGTACTTTGATTGGTTTTTTACCTTTTTCCATCCGTCTCCAGTCGCTTCTTCCTTTGTACCCATGTCCATGTTTACGTCCATGTCCATGTCCGTCAGCCAGACGATCAATAAAAGTTGTGAAGCTTCCAATTTATTCTCATTCTTATTTGTATTTTTATAAGCTAAAGGTTGCTGCATCTTGAATTTATAAGTATTAAATTTTAATGAAAAAGGATTTTGTGAATAAATTTTTGAATTTGAATTTGATCCTTTTTACAGAAATGGCACACCGGAGCCGCTAAAGCTGCGCAAAGATGGGCTGAGGCTTGCTATGCACTCACACATGACAATGCTACTGGATTGCATATCGACGCGTTTGGAAGCTGTGGACAAAATATATTTATTTCAACGGCTCAAGTTCCTTGGTAAGTTTTTTTATTTTTTTTACAAGCCAAAAGAATTTTATTTTTAGTACAATTTTTGTTTCTACAAAAAACTGACATTAATTTTAGAAAAATGTGGCACAATAATTTTTCAATATTAAAAAACAACAATAAACTAAAAAAAAATCATTATTTTTTTTTTAATATTCAATTTAAAGGATTTTTAGCCTTTTAGTACCCGAGTTATCCGCTAGGTGGCGCATAGCCGAAAATTCTCTCGCTGTTAGACTCGTAACTTCTAACTATATAATAAGATTAACATCTAACAATAAATATTACAAATAAATAGTTATTTTGATTAATTACTCAATGAGTTAAAATAATTATTATTATTTTAATGTTATTCTTAATTTTTTTAAGTAATATTTAAGTAATTAAAAAAAATTTTTTAATCGAAAAACTTGGAAAAATATATTTTTTATCGTTAAAAATTTTATCAGCATTATTTTTAATTAGTTAGTGTCTGGTTCGTCCGCTAGGTGGCACACAGTCAAAAATTCTCTCACAGTAAGACTGGTAACTCTTAACTATATAATAAGATGGGTTAAAAATTTGAAATTTCCTCGATTAGATAGTTTTTTATCAACAAAATTTTCTGTTATTAAAATAATTCTGTTTTGCAATAATTTAAATAAAATAATCGAATAATAAATCTAATTTTCGATCAAACTTGTTCATAAAACGAAAGCTTTTATGGAAGTAAATTTTTTTTTACGAAAGAAAAACTTTTCGCGAAGAAATAAATTTCGTTTTCTGAGGGATAATAATTATATTTCACCGAAATTGAGAAAGTAGAAGACGGAAATAAAAAAAGAATATAAAGTTCGTTAAGGAAACCACAAATGTTAAATGTTAAATGTCCTGTATCTAGTCTCAACTCTGGAATCGAGATGCAACGAAAGGTGGTTGAAGTTCTGAGAGAGCAAAGGTTGGCACCTGACGACCAGACGGAGCATCTGGCACACGTCTCGGGTTCGAAATTCTGACTAACAAACTTTAGTCCTTGAGTAATTACAATTAATAACCAGTCATGAGATTTGAAAGCAGAGGATTATCTTTTATTCGAGAAATTCGTTTTAAATTTAAAATATAAGACGGAGGGTGACTAAAAAAACACAACCGGGGATGACTGGTACATTTTAGTTTATCTGTGGAGCGGGTGTACTTCTCGGGAAAATACGAGCCTTTTTTAGCAGCTGAGAGATCCTCCCAGGTATCGTAACTCGTGCTGAAGAAAAACCAATGACCCGAGCTGAGAATTTGCTTCCTCGATTTTTCACCGAATTTTTTAAGCTTGAAGTATTAAAAAATAATATTTGCAAGGATTTCAATCGTTTCCCGTATATTCAATCTTTAATGTAAACATATACATATATGAATGTATGATAAAAGGAAAAAGAATAAAATTCACCCACGAATTTTAAGTAAAAATTTTTTTAAATTGGCTATTCTGAGTCTTTTTTTATAAAAATTTTTAATAACTATTTCTATATATGATAAAATTTTTCTGTTTTAAATCTGAAATTTGAAAAAAAAAAAATTATAAAACAGAAAAATATGTTGTAACTATAGAAATTATTTATTATTTATTTATTAATATTTCATGTCTTAAACACTAAAAAGGTGTATTAAAGCAGTTAGATAAGATTTTGTGTCAAAAGTGTGTAAAAAAAAATTTTTTTTGCCAATTCTTGCAAATAAATTTTAAGCTTAAAACTGAAAAAATAATTTTTAAAAACCCAAGAGAGCGCATTTTTTTAATTTTTAGCATTATAAATCAAAAAATTTTGTGATCAAAAGCCAAAAGCTCTTCTCAATTTTTTCTGCTTATTACTTTTTTATATTTTTAAATATTATATTGATTTAATTTTACTTACAATGAAATAAATTTTTTTATATCCCCAAAATTTTTCATACTAACCGTGCCTTTGATTTGAAAGGCAAAAAAAAAATTTTTGTTAACGCCCCTTTAGCATTCAAACCGCCATTCATTAAACCACAATGAGAATTAAGATATTAAAACATTATCCTCTTGCCAAAAAAAAAAAAAACCGATCTTGCTTTGACAATCTCCGTTGACCCTAATTTCCATCCCACTTTCTTTTTACAACGTATAATATCATCAGATAAGAAGCGAATTCCACTTACTTGACGGAAGCTAACTTTCCGAAAAAAGCCTTGAGATAATTATTTGATAAGAAATTTTTCCCTTACGTGTTACATTTCTCCAAATAAATATAACAATATTATATATAATATTCCATAATGTAAAATTTTTTTTTTCTCTACTTTATTATAAAGTCCCGAGATTTCTTCGTATTTTTTCTACTGCAGCCATTTTGCTGCGCTGTGATAATATAAAAACTAAATGTCTCACTCGGTATCAGTATCGTCTTGGCTCTATTTTCCTTTTCCTTTTCCCAGAAGCAATGTCGCAATTCTCAGAATCGAATCGAATCACGTATCGTTTTTCGCCGACAGTGTCGAGAGCTCTAATCCTCAGTGCGACAACTTTTTCCGGGGTGCTGCCGATTCGATAGGAACAAGAAATAATAAAAGTCGATTGAAAAGAGAACGACCTGGCACCCGGAATCGCTGAATACCAGTTGAGAGTTACAGATACTGATACAGATACAGATACAACCGAGTTTCAGTTTTCTGATTTGGCAGGGAAACTAAATCTGATTACGAGCTCGAATGCCCACGGACTAAACGCTCGATCGAAATCTGCTTTATCGATTCCCGCTTTTTACACCGACTTCACTTCTATACTAAAGATATGCGTCAGCAAATCACGAGAATGCGTTTTTATCCCCTCCTCTTATCCCTTTTCCCGTTCTGTCCAATCGCGACTGCAACGTAGGGATCGAAAAGAGCTTCTACTTAGTTTACAATTGCAAGACCCGCTGGCCTGGAAATGATAATCCCATTCGGAGAATAGAATCCAGTCGTACGTTATATTATGCGAGAACTATTTCTGGCGTGACTACACAGCGCCACCTGTTGGCTCAGTTCTTTAGTTGACGCTGCCAATTTTTTATGCTTATTATGATATTCATTATTTCCACCGCAATTTTTTGAAGAAACTTTTTTTCCAAGTTTATTACAACTTAATTTTTCTTTTAAATTATTTTGTCGTTTTGCACGACTCATGATGCGAAACATCAGAGAGTGCTTTACGATCAAAAAATTTTTTTCGCCTCATTTCGGCAACTATTTTTAGTATTATATTCTTGTTAGTTCATCACGGAATCAATATATTTTGCATACTATTGTCAAGATAATTTAATGGAGATTAATTTGACACTTTTCAAAAATTGATTTAGTGCAATAGAAACGGAAAAAAACATCAAAATAGGTCAAAAAATTTTCCTGTCCGTCATGCATGAAACTCTGAAAACACTGCAACTTGCGAAAAAATGCATTAATTGAGTTGAATTTTTTTTTTTTAATTCTTTGAAAGAATTGTAGGTCACCGAATGCGAATGGCTGGATAATTTAGTGTCATTTATGTACAATTAATAAAAAAAAAACAAAAATCAGAAGACTGTATATCTATATACAATCGTGGACATTAATTTAAGTATGTTTTTAAGTTTATTGGAAAATAGCCATTTGTAAACTCGGACGTTTATGAACTATAAATTTGAAAATTAGTTGATAATGTCATTTGTAAAATTAGTCGCAAATAAAAAATGATATTAATAAAATTAGCGAAATGGAAATTTCACCAAGTATAAATTCAGTCATTTATAAAATAGCGAAAAACAATAATTTGTGGCTATGTGAATTTAGCCAATTCTTACTACACTGCAGAAACTTATAATATTAGCCGATTGTAAACTTTGTGAATTGTAAAATTATCTGTTTCTAAATCTCTCGTAATTCTTGAATGGATCGATGGATCAAAAAACGATTTGCGGCATCTAAAAGGACTTTCATAAATTTAGTTTTTCTGAAAATTAGAGCAGATTCGACCGACCCATTTAAAAGTTATAAGAAGTTTAAAAACGGCTAATTTTACAAGTTTCTGCAGTGAGAATTGGCTAAATTCACGTAGCTACAGATTTTTGTTTTTCGTTATTTTATAAATGACTGAATTTATATTTGGTGAAATTTCCATTTTGCAAATTTCATTAATATAATTTTCTATTTGCGACTAATTTTACAAATAACATTATCAATTAATTTTCAAATTTATAGTTTATAAACGTCCGAGTTTACAAATGGCTATTTTCCAGTAAACTTAAAAACATACTTAAATTAATGCCCATGATTGTATATTGTGTGCATTTATCCCACTAGAGGCGCTTACACATTATCGTGCTACTTATTTTATCTGTTTTAAACATTTTTTTTCACATTCTTTATTTTATTAATATTTCATAACTAAATGAGCATTATGAGTCGTGCACTTTTGAATTTTTCAAACTGTTTTAAAAATAATTATCTTATGCACAAAAAAAATTTACTTGAATCAAGTAAATAATTTTGAAGAATTTCATTATCTTGATTTGACTAGAAAAATTTTTAAGAAATTTTTCTTGGCTTAAATAAATTTTACTTGATTTAGAAATTTCTCTTTTGATTCAATTTTTTTTTCAGTGTGAAAAATGAATAAATTTTGAACCGTTTTTTTTTCTTCTTCAAGCTTTATGTTGACGCAATAAGAGAAAATTCTTTTCATTCGAAAATGGAAAGATCGAATTCGCGATTGCGAGAATCTTTCACAGAGAATTTAGTGAGGTCGTAAAGCCGCCATTTTTAGGGCAGTCTTGGAAAAATTTAATGCAGTAATAAATCGAGGGAAATAGTTCTTGGGAATTGGACAAGGGGTGAAATTTTCTCGGGGGAATAATTAATTTTGTGCTTCTTCAAAATTAATGTTTTGTATTTAAAGAATTTTTTTTTTATTTATATTCTATTTATTTGAAGAATTTGATTTTTTTTGTTTAATTGCAAAATTAAATTTATAATTTTCAGGTTCTTTGCCATTAAAACCTGGTACTTGGAGCACCAAATTTTCAAGTACGGGCCTCATGCTAAAAATGACTTCAGCCAGGTTGGTCATTACACGCAGATGGTTTGGGCGCCAACTCATCGCGTAGGCTGCGGATGGGCCAAGTGTAATGGAACTCGAGGACCCCGCGGGCAACCTTATTTCAGCTATGTCTGCAACTACTGTCCAGCGTAAGCACTAATATAATTTTGATTTACATAAAAGATATTTTTTTCAATTTAAAAATTTATTATAGAAAATTCTTAAGTTAATTTAAATTTTCCCAAAAATATATACTCGGATATACTGAAAAAAAATTTGATTCAAGAAAAAAAATTTTAAACTAAGAAAATTATTCTGAAGTGTTTCATTAAGTTGAATAAAAAAAAATAAAGAAACATTTTTGATTTAAATAGACTAAAAAAAATTTATAGGTTCAAAAATTTTTATTTTGAATCAAGTTAATTTTTTTTTAGTCTACGCTTAGTATTTAAAAATTCCAACAGGTGGCGTATGAACTTAAAATTTGTTCCTACATACAAAGTTACTTTAAATGTTTTTTATTTTCAATCAAACTATAATAAAGTTTAATTTAATTTTTATACTTTTAAAAATATCAGAGTATATATTTTTGGGGAAATAAAAATTAATTAATTATATTAACATTATATAATATTAAAAAATATTTTTCTCAGTTAACTATATTTAAAATTTCAAAAAAAAATCCCCGCTTTACAATAAACACAACAACGTAAGAGAAGGAAACATTCTTCAGCAATTGGATCGATTTGTTCGATTTACTCCCATTTTCACTTCTAAAGAATATAAATAGTGACGAAAAGCAGAAAGCAGCCAAACAATCTTTATTCACTCCGGTCATGCTTGTTGAGCTTCTCAACATAATTCTCAATTCTTTGGCACCATAAATTCGACTCGAACTCAAACTCGGTCCATTTTTTACCCTAGTTCTTTTATTTTATTTTATTTATTTTATTTATTTGCCGGTTTTCCTCCTCTAATGCGGGATAAAAATATGGGATGCAAGTCTGGCCATAAAAATAACAGATGCCTCGGCTGAAGCGCTCTCGGTGAAATAGTACGCTTCAAAAAGACAATGCATTTTTCGGTCTCGTTTTTCATTTATATCTGCCGACAGATCTTCCGATCTCAGGTCTCAGGCTCGTTCTCCAAACCGCGGGGTCATACTTTGTCACGTAAATTCATAAATCTAAAGATTTTTTGTTTATGTATTGCTCGGGAGCATTGACGACAGCTTTTATACATAGAATGTTGAACAATGAAAAATTTTATAGTATTATAATACAATTTTTTTCAAAAATTTAGAAAAAATGGTAATTTAAAAAAAAAATACTTAAAGAAAAAAGTTATAATTTTATTTTTTTTCTGTATTGTAATTTTTACAATTAATTAATCAATTTTTTTAAATATTAATTATACTATAATAAAGTAAAATAAATATTAATTAAACTATTAACCCTGATAATGGCCTAGGCTGTTGGGCTTGTTGATTTAAATAAAAATAAAAAATAAAATCAAATTCATAATTTTTAATTATGATTAACTAAATTTATTAATTTAATCCTATAATAAAATTGAGATGAAATGTATGTGGCATCAAACTATTCGTAACGTGATTGGTCGAATATATCATAAGCATGGAAATATATGCAAACTCTATAGTCAAGCGCGCGAAAATTTGAATTCTAGTTAATTTTAAATTATAAAATTGGCGACTCAAATAGACCAATTATTGACGGGTTGCGTGATTAGTTTCTTGAAACTAAAAGTGAATAATCAAAAATTATTAATTATCAATCAATAATTCAATAATTAATTATTATTGACTTATTTAAATAATTTTCAAAGTAGATTTATAAAATTAAAAATAAAATTCACGCTTACGAGCTGTTTTTATAAACTTGAGATTTTTTTCTAATAAATGTTTAATATTTTTTAATAAAAAAAAATTTTTTTTTTCAATTTTTTGCGTCCGAGATAATTAAATATATTATAAAGTAACATAAGCCGTTGATAATTGGTGCTTTTAGCTTTTAGATTTTATGTAAAAATTATAAAAAAATATCTTTAATTTTTGTAAAAAAAATTATAAATAAATAAAAAATATCAATAATTCTATTAATAAAAAATTAAAAATAAAATCGCGCTTATTTAAAGAAACATTAAAAAATTAGTTAAAATAAAACTTGAATGAAATCAATAAAAGGGTATAAATACATATATCAGCAAAAAAAGGAAAAACCAGTCTTCAATGTCTAGCAAAATTGAATTTCAGAGTGTGAGTCTAAAAACGTCTTGGAAAGAATGTTGTTGATTTTATCGGCGGCTGCGGTATTTTTAAAATATATTTTTCAGAAGATAACAAGTCACGGTATCTCCTTCCGATTCGGAGTCTTTAGACGTTTTTCTAAGCGATAAAAACGGAAGGAAGATTCGGTGACAGTTTACCGTGGCACAAAAGTCACGCGTCAATCGATCTGTCACATAAATTCCCGCAATCGGATTATTTTTTTTATCGTGCCTGTCACCCGTTAAATATTTTATAATAAAACTCGATACGTTTAAATAATCTCCGTAAATTACTGGGACTTAAAATTTATTTACTGTCCATTACCCCGGAATCCAGCGATGATGACGATAATGATAGTGTTATTTGGCACCGCGCACTAAATTAAGCTCCGTGATTTAGAAGCGTTCCTCAAATGCTTCTTGGTCACGACACTATTTTTGGTTTATGCCCCAAGTAATTTTTTTTTTTTTTTCAACAATAGACCTCAAGAAAAGAAAAGATCCTTTGTCGTAATTATTTTTTTTACATCATTATTTATTACAATTAATTTTTTTGCATTCAAAAATTTTATTATAATTTTTCATTTAAAAAAATAGAATAATAATTACAATCTATTTAAATAAAGAGCCCGCAAATGCTTGTAAGTTTAAGTAGTACTAATAATATAATCTCCGAGTACTAATTAAATGATTGTCTTCACCAGGGGCAATTATCCAGATCGTCTCGGTACGCCTTACAAGGCCGGAGCGCCTTGCAGCAGCTGCAAGGAGCATTGCCGGGTCGGGAAACTCTGCAAGAATTCCTGTCCCTGGGCCGACTTGTGGGCGAACTGTCGACAGCTCTATGAGACGTGGCCGAATTGGCTCTGCGAAAGCGACACCCAGCAAGGACACGAGCGCCGGCAATTCTGTCGAGCCACTTGCAGATGCCGGGACAAGATTGTGTGAATTAACAACCCGCAATTCAGTTCAGTAACTCGAAATTTAACCTACTAATTAACGATGTATGTGAATTTCCGTCAATGCAGTACAAAAGCTTCAGCATCGCCCCAAGGAAACTCCAATAAAAACGCTGACCATCTTGCCCCGCTGAGGTATTTGACCCAAATTTTTTACCCGGGCTGCCAGGAATGGTGTTCTGAACCACCTGGAGAAAGAATTTTTTCAATAGCTTACTTGGTTCAAGAGATATAAGCTTTCCGTACATCCGGAATAAACTTTGTACGGATGTACGGATTCCGTTTTTTGGCTTTATTTGCATGAAAATTGATCCGGTTTTTTTTGAGGATTTTTTGGTGATGTCTTCCTGGAAGATTTAAGTACTATGTGGTTTATTTTGAAGACCCAAAATTTTTTTTAGAAAAGTGTGAGCGTTTTTATTGGAATTTTTAGTTGTAAGATTGTCAAAATGCTGATAAAGGTGAATTTAAAAAGTGTATTAAAATGGTGAAATAATGTAGCGGATATTTGCATATAGCGTATAAAGGGTAGATGGAGTTGAGTGTTATATGATACTGTTAGAGTGAAAATTCCCTGGGGCATGGAAATCGCGAGTGAGATTTTTTGATATTTGTAAACGATAAACTGTCTGTATTTTATGCATGCAATCTGTACATAAAGTAGAGAGCTATATATGTAAATCATTATTATATATAATATATAAATATATACATATACATATATATATTTCTGTGTATATATGCACTATCAAAGTGCTACTTCTCCATGCTCTGTATAAAGTTTAATGAAAAACTTGTTTGCTACTTTATTTTTATTATCGTATATTCAAATTCTTATGGATACATCTATAATAATAATATTAAAAATAATAATAATAATAATATAATATATATTTATGAAGTACTTAACTCGAAACATTACGGTGCTATTTATTTTAAATTAATGCACAGTCAATGTTTTTGTTTTAGTTCTTAAATTATTATTCTCTAAAAGATAAATTAGTTAACTTTATAAAGTATACTTTAAAACATAAGTAATAAATGTTGAAAATATATAAAGTATGTAAAATATTTGTCGATAAGCAAAATTTAAAAACTTTAATAATAAAAGTAAATTTTTATTAATTCAGTCACAAATTAATAAATAATTATATTAACGTGGAAACTTAAACTGTTTAACATAATATAAATAAAATTAGCTGTAAAAAAATATGTAATGATAAGCATGGAAATGTGTTGAGATTATTTGTGATCAAAATATATATTAAATAAATTGTAATTCTATGAACAAATAGACGGTCTATTGTTAAATTAATTGAACATAAACCTCGACGGTGGATATATTTCCCGATGGTCGGAATGGAGGCTCTGGGCGATCAGCGATAAGCGGTAACTGATAACAGTCGAGGTGAAGAGTGAGACTTTTTCCCTCAAGCTCACTTTAATGCTGGTCTTTTAATCTTTTATCCTTATCCGCTCATTTTTCCTCGTTATGTTATTATATGTCTTTACTCTATCACACTTTAAGGCCCTTCAGCGCTCGATCTCAACTCGGAAGATCCGAGTTAAGAAATCAGCCCGTTTACCGCAAATCGATCATAAGGAAAAGTTTATGTTTTATATTTTTGTCTTGAAGAGTTATACAAGCTTAGAATTAAAAAGAAAAAAATTTTTTTTTAAATCCTACACCCCAATTCCTTAATCTTTATTTGGATTTTTATTTCCTATTTTATATCACTTTTCTTTAAGTTATTATTAAAAATTTTAATGAAAAATTTCTTGCTAGAGTCAATAATTATAATTGCCGTACACTAGAAAAATTTTTTAGGGACTAATAAATAGATTTTTAAAAATTTTGTCAAGTGACTTTTTTGGGAAAAAAACATTTTTTATTAATTAAAAATATTTATTATAACTAAATGAGTGACTAGTTGATATTAAATAAATATTTTAAATGCTAACAAAGCGTTATTATATTGAAATAAATATTTGTTACTAGCAAACAAGATTTATTAATAGTTAATAAATATTTTTTAGGAGAATTAGTGGGTGGCACTCTAGCCAGTAGTTATGTCTATGCATTAGTTCGAGCTGTACCTGTACACATATAATGTGTGGCAGAGTCGCCATATTCTTTTACTATACACAGAAAGAAAAATTTCTTGACTAGAGAAAAAAATTCTTGGCTCAAGAAAATTTTCGGGTGCCTGAAGGAAGACCGAAGTTGTGTTGGCCGAAGTTAAAATTTTTCTTGAAATTCTATTCTTGGCGGAAGTAATTTTTTCTTAATTTTAATTATCATAAATACTTGATACAATAAATTTTTATATTTGATCAAGATTTTTAGATACTTTAGGGAAGCAGCGCCACCTACTTCAGCTAAGGAAAAAATTTTCTCATGTTGAGAAAATTTTTCTCTTGAATATTTGATACCCATTTTATATTATTTTAGCGTGCAATTATACATATTGAATGAAAATAGTATATTACACTACAAGGGCAGAAAATTGAGATTCCTGCACTGCGCATCATGGCACGCAGTTCAGGGCTCTCAAATTTCGGCCCATGTAGTGTATACTATTTTTCTTGCTATGCGGTCGAAAGTACGTTAAAAATTGCGTTGAAAAAAATTGATGCCTGCCCCCGACATTTGCGGCACGAGCGAAGCGAGTGCTGCTGGTCGGGGGGGGGGGGGGGTCAGGCATCAAATACAACTGTAAATAAAGATATTAATATATAATCTATCATATTACTACTTTCTTTTAAGAAAAGATTTTAATTTAATTCAATAATTTTAAAGTTTTAAATATATTATAAATTAATTCTGATATTAAAAATAAAAAAAAAAAAAACACAAAAATGAATTCATAATCGTGAAATGCATAGAAAAAAAAATTTTTAAAAAAATCTGTTTGTGTATTTTTTAAAATAATTACTTGTTCAATAATGAATTTATTTATTTATTTGAGAAAATCTATCAGAACAAAATATATTTTTTTTTTTTTATTTGTAATTTAAATATTTAACAAGTCTCATTTCATTAAAATAAATATTCATTTTCTGTAATTAACTTAGTTTCAACGTAACTAATTAACTTAACTTAACTATAAATTAACTTAACTATTAAAATCATTGACACATAACAAAACAGATACATTCATAACAATCACAAGTAAGGTTAGGCTTGTATACATAAGTAATAGAGTGAGCGCGACTACCGACTTTCGGACTTTATGCCGCCTCGTGACTCGTTGTCAGTGCATGAATACATTTTTTCGGCTCCCCGTCGTAGAGCGCATGCGCGACTCGACCACGGCATAAATGTGAGGCTTTCTGCAGTGAAATCGCAGCGGGAACCCGTACTTTCGACCAGCGTAGTAAGAAAAAAATGATTCAATATTTTTTGATCTTCCCATTTGACATGTTAATCAATAAAAATATTAATGAAAATTGACTTCTATCTTTATATTTAATTTTTTGGAGCAAGAGAGAAATTTTCTCAAGACAAGAAAATTTACTTCTATCAAGAACTAAATTTTTTGGAGCAAGAAGCTGAATTTTCTCAAAACAACAAGATTTTCTTGACTTAAATAAATTTTCTTGGATCAAAATACGTATTTCTTAAAGCAAGAGGATTAATTTTGCTGGAATAACTGAAACTTCTTTTTTCAAAAAAAAATTTTTTTTTCGCCTAATAAAAAATAATTAGGAAGATAAATATTTTTTTGGCTCAAGTGAACCTTTTTTTCTGTATTGTAAAAAATGATTCATTAAATCTCAGGAAAAAATTTTTTAAATAATAACTAATATTCGTTTGCTACAAAAAAATCATGTCTTAACTATTAACAAAAATTTCTTGAATAATATTCTTTAAGAAATTCTATTTTAATTTTTAAAAAATTATTTTATTACAAAAAAAAAATTTAATTTATTATTTTAGTAAATTTTTACTAAAAGTTTTTAATGTGCTGAAAATTGACTTTTATCTACTTATAAATTTTTATTTTAATCAAATAAAAAGCCTTTTAATAAAAAATTTCTTTCTTCGCCTTTTTAACTGCGTAAAAATCTCAAACTTAAATAGACAATATTATATAATGTTGAAAAATAAATTGACGGAAATGCATCGGATCTTTGTGTCGGGTCAACATGAACGTTATACTATACTATACTTAACTGTACACAGTATAAGCTATTTATACAAGGCATGTTGAAGATGGGAGTCCTGTTCCAGCTCGGCCCCGGGAGATAAAAGACGTATATTTCTTAGGAAGAAAACGAGCGTGCCACAGAAAGATATGATCCGGTTTATTATTACGTCCTGTGCACCCAGTATCTAGTTCGCAACAACTTCACTCAGTTGTTTATGCCCTTTTTAACAAGCTATTTCAATATTTAGTGCCCTCGCGACGTTTTAATTGTTATTTACGCACGAACCCGTGGCGGCTAATTTATGACTGCAAATTGCTGCGGAAAAATTCTAAATGACAACAATCTACTCTGCCATTCAGGCTTTTGTTTTTACAACTCATCCGAGTAAGTAATAATAAATATTATGCTTAAGTCTGCGGAGTAATTCCGCATGCAGAAGAGCAGAAATGCGGGATTAGGAAAGTTGAAATGCCATGTGGGAAACTGGAGCTACTTATGCGTGTGCATTATGTAATTATAATTGCAATTGTAATTATGATTATAATTTTGCATAAATTTATGCAAAAGTCAGGGATTTTCCGGCACATACGCATACTAATTTATCAGCGCATCTGAACTTAACTTGAGAGATTAATCACGTTACGCAATCAAACTTCGCTTACGCTGAATTATATGTCTGACTCTTGCCTGGAATTAGCGCTGGAAAATTGTTGGTAATCCATTTCAAGCTACGGCTTTAATTTAAAGTACTTTTGGTATTTTTTTAGTTTCACCATCTGGAATGATATTAAGAATTTTTTTGGGCAATTATAGATTTTTTTTAAAAGCGAAAATTTCTTTGGAAATTTCGAAAATTAAATTTCTT